TTCCTGTAGAAATTAATTAGATCAAATTTACAAATTGTTCTTTTGTGGTTTAACAGAACGAACAACCTTGCCTGGTCAAATATTTGCACATTGTTTTCTTATTTCCCTCGAGTGATTTTCATGTAAGACGATAAAATAGCGAGCGTCTCATCAAGAAATCGGGGATCAATATCAAACTACCAGAAAGCATGTTAAACACATGTCGCAAAATCGCAAGAATCCGAACAGCATGTTAACGATGTTTTTACAGAAAAGTACAGCTACAGCTCACTTTTATAGGAACGCCCTTTTTATTTCGTCACAAACAAATCCTAAGGTAAAATATGCATAACTATAAAAATCTCTGATTCTAGATTTGTATACAAGTGACAGTGTCTAGGGATAGTAATGCTCTTTTTAATATAAGTCACACGTATTACAGACATACCCTTAACTGTTTATTCTCCGTTTTGGTCCAAAACCATTAATAGCGACACATCTATCTAATATACATTATACAACAAACTGAAATGAATAAAGAAAGAAAATTAGAATCAAAGGAATAAGAGCATGTATTTTATTTTAATTTAAGAGCTTTAATCATAAAAAAAAGTTTTATGCATTTCTAATTACAGAAACCTCATCTTACATGATACGTAACTGGCAACTGGTAAGATGTTGAAAAGACAAACCACAAAATGTCTGGACAAGATGGGTGAACAAATATATTTAGAAAAAAAATCTGCAGTATTTGGTCTCCAGATATGTCGTTTTATACTTGTTTTCCGATTTATTCTTGACTACATCTTAACGACATGTGATTGACGGTCATAAACGTTTATCTCTGCATCCAATAACAAGAATTATTCACCACTAACGGTCTCCGTGCTTTTGCCGAGAAATATTTAGAAATATTGCAAACCCTGTTATATTCAAAGTGAAATATTGACAAACTCCGCTAATTAAGTTTGTACTGGTAGAACATTGCATAATTAACCGCAGCAATGGGAGAGTTCCTTTGAATTGACAATTACATTAATATTGACTATATCTGATAGTTTGTGAAATTGACTAATGTCCAAGTTATGATACTGTCTCTTCATAATATGATTGCGTTATGTTTCTCATATCTGATACACATAACTTTCATGCTAACAGTCTAATTAGATTGAACTAGCACCAGAAGTTTGATTGACTCTCTGATACGGGGGAATTTTGGCATGTTGGCCATTTTTTTCGGTTCCTTTTCCTCGCTGTAGCAAAATAAAAGAGGCAATAAACTCCGAGACGCAAGCAGTTACAGGAAAATGAAGTAAAATGATTAGAACAGAAATTTCTCTATGGGTATATTTTAACGTATTATAGGAGATATACAAGACAAAAAATACCCCTTTGAAGCGGCTTTACAAAATTGTCTTATATAAGATGACATTATTTTCGATTTTATACTAAAGGTATCAGCGAAGGAACTTGGTTGTTGCAAAAAGTCAAAGAAGTGAGCTATTCTTGTGTTACATTTTAAATATTTGTCCGATTTCGATGAGGATTCGATTTTGTACAAGTTTGATGGGCCTTCCTTACAGTAATATAAGGCCCAAAGCCCTAACCAAAGTAAACTGAAGATTTCTGCGTGGCTTGGTCGTTTTTTGGACCGGTGTATTCTTTTTTCTGTATATAAACTGTAGAAATGTTCGTAAAAAACACAATGTTTTTTTAGAGATCCGTGTCAAAACCATTTGCTTGTGTCTGAATATTGTTATATAATGTTATGCAAAATACTTATTTATAGATGAAAGATAGCAATGTAATATTTCATACAGTCCGACCACGGTATATCATAAATCTGTTAAGATTTAAGTGATCAAAACAAAGTGAGTTATAAAAGATAGTGGAATAAAACTAAACTTGCCCTTAGTCACATCGTAATCTGCTCGTAAAACCATTTGATCATCATTAAAACATATCTATAAATCAACTTTTAAAAGCTGCATGGTTCTTACTTCTTGGAAAATTTCATAAAAATTGCACGGACGACCGAGAGAAATTGTGATTTATACGACGTGTTGTAATCATACTTGTTCACCGTGTAACTCTATCCGGTTGGATCATGGGAGTTGGGTCAAGGCAGAGCTGCGTGTGTTGACGTTTATGATGGTTTCGCACTTTAAGAAGAGACATCAAACGGAAACAGTGCAGGTTATCAGAGATCTACATTGACAGATGGCGTGAACAAAAACTTTTAAACTCAAGTATGACAAAATAGATGTAATCAAAATTAGTTCAGAGTTTCTGTTTTTCTTACAGACTAGTTTTTCCCATTCTGGTTCTTTACATAGTGAATTCTAATCTGTGGCATGAAAAAAAATTATAATGTTCTTTCGATTTAAAAAATGCTCGTTCAGCTTTTAGCGAACACCATTAGATAAGACAAGAAATTTCCCAAATTTGCCTCCAGAAATAATGCTATTAACGTACCATTTCAGGTATAAATGTATTGATAAAAATCTACCCGTCAGCCGGTAATAAACGTTTTTGCAGTATGGTACCGTGGTGGGATTGTATGGCCAAACACAAATCAAAATCTGTAAATCTAAATTAATCTTTTTTTAATATCTGTTGAACAGATCTAATATCTCTGTAGGATATAAAAAATTTGGTCCGAAATGTTTGCAGTATCTCACTTGAAAATCAAAAAAGATTAACCAAAAGAAGCGACCGCTCGTGTGCGTAAAAGGAACAATTTGCGCTATCACACCTTATCAAATTTTTCAGGACAAAAGAGATTATCTAAAAATCTGGTAATCTAGATATTTTGTGAAATATATCACCTCATGGAGTTTCAGATTTTAAGATTAGTTTCGATTAGGATCAAAGGGTATTAAAACAAAAGATTTCGTCAGTGTTATTCCAAAACTTGTTTTGATATGTTTAAAAAGGAATACAAATTCCTCTTAAACTGCCTCTGGCTTACTCATAAGCTTGTGTTTTCATTTTGTAGATACATCTGCCTTACAAACTTTCTGGGAGATGTTTTGTTTTTCGATATGAAGAAGTTAAGATTTATTAAAAAAAGTATTATCGATGATCTAACTCTTTGTATTTTTTTCGTCCAATGCGATAAAGCTATATATCATTTTTTAGAAATCCAAATTCACTATATATCTTTATTTATTCCGCCAAAAAATACAGGACTGTTTTATCAATAATTCTATATATAGATTTTATCAATATTACAATTTAGATAATAAAAAATTCAACATTTTAAATATGAAGCTATACAACTTCAATCTTTATCGACATCTCTAGGAAAACATACACCCTCCGTGTTTATATCAGTGCCAATAAATAGTACTGGAAAGAAAATTGTTAAATTATGTTATATATATTTCTAGGAGAAAATAAACAATATATATTATTCTACCTTCTTAGCTACTTTTATATGATTTTCTTTTTATGATATATTAGTGAGACATAAAATCTGGCCTTGTTTCGATTTTAATCCGTAGTGCATTCCAGGGGTTTCCAACTCAAAACGATCATCGATAAAAACTAAAATATATAGACAGTCCGTGTTACAAGACACTGTACTGTTTATTATATACGCGTACACTCGTACATGTCATTATCATCTCTAGAAGTCGATGTCGCCTCTTCTTTTTTTAGGACAGGAATGATTGTCAGTGTGGAGCTACATGTATATATGAGCCGCGTCTCGACAAAACCAACATAGTGCGTTTGCGACCAGCATGGATCCAGACCAGCCTGCGCATCCGCGCGGTCTGATCAGGATCCATGCTGTTCGATTACAAACCCTATAGCAAGCAGAGAAACTGACAGCGAACAGCATGGATCCTGATCAGACTGCGCGGATGCGCAGGCTGGTCTGGATCCATGCTGGTCGCAAACGCACTATGTTGGTTTTGTCGAGACGCGGCTCATATCTCTTTTACAGTCAATCGCGCTCGCTTAAATATTGCAATGATCGGAGTTGACAACATTCTTGATAAAGTAATTCGTTAAAAGAAATAAAGAACAAAACCAGGAGAAACAAATCTATGAAAACAAAACTAATTCTATTGACGTTTTGAACTTTTAAGCAAAGCCAAATTACAAATTAATTTGGCAAAACCATTATCAGATCAAACATCTACTCCAAAAAAATGTGGCGGGAGATTATTTAACGGTGCCGTGAAATAGGTTACCCTCTTCAATCCATTGAACACCCAATTTAGTGCTAGATATCAAATCCCGATTAATTTTATTTCAGATACCAATCTTTAATTATTTTGATAAGGTGAGATATATCGAAATATCGCGTTTAAGTATTTTGACGATTTGCGATTTTTTCTGATTAAGTCATTCTATAAAATTTGATCGAGTGCCTATCTGTTAAATTGTCAAATATGATAAGACAAAATTTGATGTTATATGTTTTGTTTTGCCAAAATGAGACGCACATTTGCAAGATCTGTCTGATACACAGATTAATAAACATTTTCATGCGTCATTATTTTGAAAGCAGATTTTTCCCGTACCAACGGGCATTCTGAATTGGAACAATTTAAAATAAACTAAGACAATTTAACGCTATTAATTTTGACAAATAACAAATCAATACTGATTATTCTATTTGTTTCTGTAAACAATCGTGCGTTTTTCCGCTAGCATTCTTAAACACATCAGATATAATCATCTGATTGTTACTTAAACAGAAATCTACATATGTAAATGAGTCACAAAGAATAAACTTTGTTGCTTATTTTTGGTGTCTGTGTCACGAACTGAAACGAGTTTTGTTTCTACATGATCCAATGAGTTTAAAACATGTTTCTGACCAGAAAACATTTGTATGCAAAATTATACAGACTGCCAGTTATTGAACCATTATCATTTTTTAGGTTTGTTAAAAAAAAATATGAACATAATTAAAATGCACATCACAAACATATCGTAACTGTGACTATGCTATAATACTCATGTTACCATTTATGCATTATGGCCGAACGAACGTACAAAAAGTCCATAACAACCAGATATCAGTAATAGATGAAGTTATTACAAAACGATCATTTTACTATACAATTCCTCGAATTTGAACCATATTAACAAAAATAACATAAACGTATAACGTTAGCGACGTTATTCGGAGTTAGGTTGTATTAAATTTGTGCACGTGATGCATATGGAAGTAGCAAAATATGAACAAGCAAATGCATACAATAACCTTAAGATGTTTCTGTGAAGTCAGTCTGAATCAGGATGAAATTGTTTCCCCTTTTAATGGAAGAAATCGTGTAAATTCAAGAAAAGTAAAGTTCTAGAAATATAAGGTAGTTAAAGGTTTACATTATTTTCATTTTCTCCATTATTTTCGCTTTATCTTATTTTAAAAACGCACCGGTTCTATATAAACTCTTGTTTTGTATGGCAAAGAGAGAAGTTAAAAAGTCTGATCAGGGCTTACAAACCCTATAACAAGTAGAGAAACTGATAGCGAACAGCATGGATCCTGATCAGACTGCGCGGATGCGCAGGCTGGTCTGGATCCATGCTGGTCGCAAACCCATTATGTTGGTTTTGTCATGACGCGGCTCAAATTATTATTTCTTATTTTCTCCAAGTAAACGATGCAACATGTTAATGCAGCAGTTCTATTGTCATTGCAAAATAAAAAAATGAAATAAATTTAAATTGCTTTCGTGTAATCAAAGTTGAAAACATGCACATTTCTAGACGATGGTTATTTATGGCGAAAATTTCACATTTTCAAAAGGTTTTTGACATTTTGAATTATATTGATGAATCGTTTATCTGTGAGAGAACCTCGAGAAACATTTGTCTGTTTATGTTAGAATATTCTACTGTGGAAGTAAATTATTTGATCTTATAACAGCGTTTATTATACGTCATTAACTACCATAAGTATTCAAGAATTTCCCATTTTCCTTCCTTTTATTATCTATGGAATTGCTAAGTTTTGGTGATTTAGGCTTTATTTATGGTATTTACTCCATTATATTCGGTACGACACTCGGTATGAAATAGCGTCATTATTAACCGGCTATTATGTATTATTAACAGCGAAATGTCATGTCTTAAACACCGCAAAATCTCCTTACCACCGTAAGACAAAAGCAACTAACAACAATTTGCATAAATTCATATCATTTCTTCATCTCTTCGGGTCTATTTAAGTATCAGTAAAATAGTTTGTACGAGACTGAAAGACGTGCCAGGGCCACAATTTTCTCTGAATTATAACGGCCTGGGTCTACGGCAATAATTCAGTGTATGATTATGACTGCAATTTTTCCTCTCATTTATGTCTCTTTATGTCACTGAAGCCTCGTTTGGCGATACATCAACAATCAAGCGCCCGTTTAACCATGAACGAACATTTATCAAGCGTCTCCAAGATGGCTCTGACATGGCGGAGGTATGACAGGTGGCGTCAAATAGGTAATTTGTTGTTGATCCTCCAGTAGAAAATCTCCTAAAGAAGTCGTGGACTCGCGTGTAAAGAAAAATTGTCTGGAAGAAAGGAATAAAATAAAATATAGCCTATGACGCTTCGTAAATTTGAATAAGAGATTTTAGCATTTCGGCACAAATTAGGATATTTATATGAAAATCGAAGGAAGGAAATTACTTCATTTTTTGTTCTCTTTTTGTTTTTTACAAGAGTAACGGAATAAAGTATCAAATCTGTCACATAAAAGCAGAATTGCAGAAAACGTTTTTGCAACATGTTTTGCTTGTTTTCCAAGGCACCTCTCTTGTTTGTAGGTCGATTATCAAGACAAATATTATCATTGAACGCGACCTTGTTTTAACTGTCGTATTAATGATGACGTCACAATTTTACTGGGATCAGCAGAGATTTCCACTTTGGCGTATAAGCATACATCTCGAACGTCAAATATATCTAGTCATCTTGTACATTTATGTTTTCTTGGATCTACCATTTGTTTGTGTTGATATTGTAGCTTTTAGGCTTTTAGGTCGTGACCTTCACCAATATTGTCCGTCCTCATGCGTGTACCAAGAATAGTCCAGGTTTTCTCGACAATCATTGCAAACATTATATTTCAATTGTTCTAATTCTATTTTGACTTTATTCAGGTTAATCAATTCATCACGTCTCACTTTACGTTCTGCCTTTAATTTTCTCCGCTTAAAGAGGTACACAACGAATGTCAGAAGAAATAAAACTGCCAACATCACAATCACGCCTATATAGATGGTCTCTTTTGTGCAAGTGCTCGGACTCGTTGGTGATATAACTGTATGGGAAAAAAAGAGAAATAAAGATCATTAATAACCTTTTGGTTCAAAAGATTTAAGGCTAAATTGGGTCATGCTGTCCAAATATTTAAGAAATATGAGTATCTGATACATTAACATCGGCAACATGCACGTAAAATTATTTTTTAAAAGGAATTGAAAATAAGTTAAAGCGATAAACAACGACTCGTTTTAGAGATGAAACGTTAAATGTCCTTTGTTCGAGGATAAATGCAGAAATCGTAATATAGTGTGCCCTTGCATAACTAGAAGAAAGTATTCATAAAACGAATAAATGATAGTGATATAATTTTGAATTTTTCATCTCTTTTAAGCAAATATGCAATAATAAAGTTTTGAAAAGCATAAAAAACAAGTGTATTGTACCAAGCTCCAACAATGGTTGACTTTAAGTAACATGTTTACATATTTAGGAATGGAATAAATTGTATTTCTGATAATGTATATAATACAAAGCATACTTTTTGTCGTGACATCTTCCGTGTTAAGAAGCACAGAATTTCCGACCAATATTTCATCCACTTTTTTATTAGTAGCTTGAAGTCTGCGTGTGTATTTGGCGTTACCCCCAACGTTGTCGTCACAAGTTTTCTGCAAGAAGTTGGTGTAAAGAATATTAACTTTCAATATATTACAAAACAGAGGACATGCTGCAATACGTATATGAATCCATTAAGATAATTTGTAAAATCTATATTTAAACTTTAAAAGATGTATACGTTTCTACTTGTTTTCTTTTTATTTCCTTATTTCTTGTTATCACCTTTTTCGATATGGAAATGATAAGAGTTCAAATATTAAAGGGTATAAATCTATATCTTATGAAATATTTTTTTTATAAAATACAAAAACACTAAAAATATGTTGTTTCCAACACATTCCTAATGGCCGTTTCTCGGAAGAATGTTTCTTTTACATAACGCACATGAATATTGTACGTAAACAGAATAAAATGTTCCGAAGTTGTGTTTTGGCCATTTTAAATAGTAATGATTACGTGTATTTGTCATTCGCTTTTTTAGAGGACACATACACACATATTTCTTCCTTACAAGTATTTTGGAAGTATTTTCTCCAATAATTTGGCCAGAACTACGTATAATAATTACATGTATATGAAAAACTGAACATAAATTGATTACATATGAAAAGTGGTAGTATTATCATAAAATTTGCAATACCGGAAGATGCTGTCCTACGAAAACTTTTAGTGTACAAGTAAACTCTAAATTGACCGTCCCGCCAACAAGATGTGTAGGCCGGAATACACCGAACGTTGACTGCAACTTTCCTTGCAGGACATGTGTAAATGTAGGGAACAGGTTGTCGTCTGTTGCACAACTGTTTAAGTGAAATAAATATAATTGAAATTAATTAAAACCTGGATCTGAAATTATCACAAACTTGTTCATCTTTGTCTTCCCAATAATCAACAGTACTCAATTACATTTACGTCAAGGGACATAACTTTTGAAATAATAACGTTCCTTTTTCTAAAAGAACAGGACTACGCAGATTAATAATGTACTTGTATGAAGCTCAGAAAGCTACAACAGTTTTCATTTCAACAGTTTGGGTATCTGTTAACTCAATGACATTAAATTGTAACAATTGTTTTAAAAAAAACTATTTATTTGATACAAAAAAACTGCAATAAAATATTTATATCCATCGATTAAATACTACTGATCATTATCATCGTGTATATAAATGTATTCTCGATAAGAATTTTGAGCTTACGTTGTTTTAACATCAGCCCCTATATTATCTTTTATCGTTTGATGTTTTCTGAAAGAAGTTGTAACGAATATAAACCCTTAATACCAGTATATATGTAAAAGCACATATATGCTGCAGTGTTACATTTAGCCGGTGCTAAGGGGCATGGACAGCATCTTGCATTTACCACTACCGTTCATGAACAGTCAAACCTGCAACATTTTTTATTTTGCCAGGAACTTTGTTTTTCTCTAATTTGTAGCAAAGTATAAGTATATACACACCTATCTTTTATGGTCACGATACTATCAGCATGACATGCACTCGCTTCTATATCAAAGTCATCTGTAAAAATGAGAAAAAAAATATGAGCAAACGCATTATGTTGGTTTTGTCATGACACGGCTCATATGTAAGACCTATCAAGTGTTACTATTAATTTAAACATTCATACAGATAAGCCCACTTAGATATTAATAACATCATGAACAATGATATTTGTTACCTTTGCATTTTTTATGCCCCCCCCCCCGTTCAAAACAATCCTAAACTGAACTTTATTTTACGGCATGCAATTAAAAAACAAAAGATTTTTCATAAATATTATAATAGGCAGTGACAATATGAAACTGATAGCGAACAGCATGGATCCTGATCAGACTGCGCGGATGCGCAGGCTGGTCTGGATCCATGCTGGTCGCAAACGCATTACGTTGGTTTTGTCGTGACGCGGCCCATATGTAAGACGTATCAAGTGTTACTCTTAATTTAAACATTCATAAAAATAGGCCCACTTAGATATTAATAACATCAGGAAAAATGATATTTGTTACCTTTGCATTTTTTATGCCCCCCCCCCTTCAAAACAATCCTAAACTTAAATTTATTTTACGCATGCAATTAAAAAAAAGATCTTTCATAAAAATTATAAAAATTATAATAGGCAGTGACAATTAATGAAACTATACAAATCATACATACCAGCATAATCATTATCAAGTTGTATAACCATTGTAAGCTGTTCTGTTAGTTGTACAGTTTTACCGTTAACATTAACACCATCCCGATACAGGTACATTGTAGCTGTTGGTGTAACAGTTTTAGTTACACCATCCTCTTCTTCTTTATCCCTGAAAATATACAACACATCTTGAGCAGATAGATTTTGGTTTAACGTTGTACACAATGGTGGTTTTGGAACTTTTCACTCAGGATTACGGCAGTGGACCATATTGAATTTACCAGAGCACTGTTCATCCATCACGTCGTTCCTAGGCAGGCTGTCAAGCAGTTTACCAGCACTAGTTGCCTGAACTGATAACATATGTACATGCCAGAGCAAAGGTACAAGTGCGAATGACAGTAGTAAGGATTTCTTGATAAATCACTACAAAAGTGATCTGCACCGTCTGGGTATTGAACCTGGATCGACCAATTCACAGTCTAACGCTCTAACTATTTGAATAAACGGACGGTCATACCCAATACTTCTCCTGACATCTGCGTCAGTGGACCGTTGCTTTGGCTTAGTGGCTAACATCATTTCTAATTCCATGCGGGTTTGACTCCTCCCCCCCCCCCAAATACATAGGCATTTTCTGTTACAAATCAAAACCTTCGTAACAGCTTGGGTAGCAACAATAATTAATAATCTTAGAAACTTTTAGTTCTTTGTCCCATTGTGTATTTCTACTAATCAAGAAGTTGATGGAAATTTTTTTTTCAATCCTGAAATTAGTTCATACTGTTTATGCAACAGCGAAATGTTGTTTTACCTCAGTTTTGGAATGGAATCTTTCAATTATAATTAAATCCTGTGACGTATTTATTACTTACAATACATTTACGTTCACTATTCGATTGCCAACAATTAAATCGCTAGTATCGGGTATACATGTCACAGGAAAACGTTTGTCAGCACCCGTTTGGTAGAGTGGATGTCTTTGAACAATAACTCGAAATGTCTCCCTCTGAAAAATATATGTAAGAATATATGTAACAAAACATATTAGAATATATGTAAGAATATATGTAAGAATATATGTAAGAATTTAAATCTCAGTTAACAGTACTAGTACAATAATACCATGTTTAAGGTTATTCATATAATAGTTTTATTTAAAAATGCTTATGAATTATAAATTGTTTTAACCGACAATTTATTTACAAACATATCAAGTGACAAAATGTATCAAACATAATTATTTAAATTATTTAAAGGAGTTTCCATAAATACACATATACAAGTATTACAACAATTTCTATCAAAAATGGTCATACAATTAGTGAATTGAAGGTCGGTATTCCATGTAAATGTTAATCAGTGTTTGAAATTGTTCATTCTAGCTCTCTTCTTAGACCTATTAAATCATTATAGATTAAATTGTATTACTCGGTCATGATGATCCGATTATACAACCTCAAACTCTTCCTTATAAATAAACGGTCCATACTGCTGATAATGTATTTGTAGTATAAAACACATATTTTAATTGATTTTTAAAAAATAAATAGACTGAGAACATTTTTTTTCATTTTTCGTTAACTCCTGTAAAGATAAATGTGTTTATTAAGCTGAAAATCATACCCAATTTATAGCGCATGTATGGACGTCAAAGACGTGTTTAGAGACGCCAGCTTGTGTAGATTGTCTACATGATGTTCCGGGACCTTGTATATATACAATACCGCCATCTACTGCATCATGCACGGTTATATTTACTTTACTTTTTGTACAACTGGTGATGTCGACTGATGAAAATACAAACAAGAAATATGATCACTATATATTGAAGTAATTAGAGCAATATGACATGACATGTGGCATGGTCTTTATATTTAGTTAACAAGTTTTCTTTCATTCATTTCAACAAACAATCATTTAAAATGGTTATAAATTATTTATGTGGCAAATTTTATTTATATGATTGCAAATATATGTACATGTATGTGATATAATATTTTCTTATTTTGAACAATTGAAATGCCATAGAAATTATTAGACTGTAAAATGCAATACTAATATACGTTTGAAGTGATACATTATAAGAATTTTTAGAAGACTTTTAAAGAATGTGATATGTATGATTTTGTATGATTGTTATAGTATATACTTACGTCTAGGTTCAAATCTTTGTGGAAACACTGACTGTAGTATGCTATTTATAGCAAATATACTTATAATAGTCTGAAATATACAGTAAAAGTGTAGAAATATATATCCTTAAAGTGCATTGGTCTATATTGGAAGGTCTGTAATACAATAAATAATTACGATGATCATATTTTGTATTAGACATAACAACAAACTACAGTAAATATACAATGTACATGGAAGTTTTTGGCAAGCGTGAGATACACGATCCGATATTACATTTATTAAAAATCAAAAACAAAAAAGACATCATACATTTCCTTTTAAGATAATATTCCGACAATAGAAACAAATACCATGTTAGACACAAACTAAGATATATAGATTAAACATTTTAACATGACAACTTTGTCTTTTATAATTATTATGATGTCTCGTATCAATGTTGAAAATTTGAAATGTAGTGTCCATATGTTTTGACAATAGATTCCACTGCGTATTATCACTGTATAGTCTGATTTTATTGACCTGTCAATTTTGAATACATTATAGCACTCATTTAAATATTCGATTTCACTTCGGTTCTGTCCGTGTAGTTTACGAGAATTAATATGGAGTAAATAACTAATGTTTTGAAAAGTCACACCAGCTTAATGCATAGGTCATGTCAAATCCGCGATAGCACAGACAGTAGAGTGATTGTGTAATATATTAGGGGTCTGTAGTTCAATCCCCACTTTTGCCGTTGTTTTAAGGCCTACTCTTTTTCTTTATTTCTGCAGTATATTTTCATGAAAATGGCCGAGTGCTTCCAATATTGTCTACACATATATGAATCAACTAAGAAACATTGTCTCAATTTGTATTGTGTTCAACGCCATTGAAACGACATTTTCTAATTTTAATCCGAATTCATTATAAATTTTAATTCTGAAAGCATGTTATTTAAAAGGAGTTTAATTGCTAAACATATTAAATCAAAACGAACAACAAAACAAGCAATTATAGTTCCGATAATGTTGAAAATAATTAGAAGAAGAAGAATAAGAAGAAGAAGAAGAAGAAGAAGAAGAAGAAGAAGAAGAAGAAGAAGAAGAAGAAGAAGAAAACAAAAAAAACATTGGAGGTACGCGGTCTCGATCTCACAACACGTAGGACACTAAGAAATCATTAACCTGTAGCTTACCCTATTCCGCTATACCGCTCAGTATAATTGCTCCATAGGCACATACTATATTTAATCAAATCTCACTGAGTACATCTCACGGACATTACCGAAAATCTTTCGAAGATTAATATATTGTGTGCATTGACCGTGTAATTAGTATGGAATTGACAGGTTAATAAAACCAAAACAATAAAAACACGAATAAACATGTATGTTTTCTTGCTTACATTTACATCTTATAATTTAACGTTTGCGTTCCATATCTATATATACGGCTTAAATCAACTCGCGCCTCCTGATATGCTTCCTATCTTTGTGTATTATAAGTATTTTCTTACCTTCACATTTTCCATTTGCCTACACAAATAAACACAATTTTAATAAGTTAAAAGTTAATTATCCTTTTTATGATCCCTTCTCTATTACTACATGATTTACATTGTATAAATCCTACAGCACTTCTTCCAATATTTAGTTTGTTTTACAAACAGACATTCAACACTGTTCCTTTATATTGTTTTAAGTCAGTATCATTTTTCATATCTTTTATTTTAAAGTATTGATCAACGAAAGTGATCTGTTTTTTGCAATAGACGGTAAAATAATAAGTGTACTGTTCTTTCATGATCATTTATAAAAATGCAAGAAATAGCAATATAGTAATGTCAAGTCATACTGTTAACTACTAGTGTTCAAGATATTATATTTTCTGTATTTACTTTAAAAAAAGACAGTTATATATCACTCAATATGTGTACGTTAATGCAAAACAGGACATTTACTCTTTCGTCCAATAAAACATTTAACATGACAGGAATGTCTGTTGTGAATATCTAAATAATGTTATGCCTATTGTTATAACTTGGGAACTATTTTGATTAGTTAATATAAAATTCGTGTAATATACTTAAACATTTGCAACTATAAGACCCACGTTTTAAAAGGCCGTCATAAAGAACACCTTACCACAAACATAACAGATTTACTTTCATCTTCACGATCCATATATATTCTATTTATTGTAGTACCAAATGGGGTCTATCTATTCAAAGTCAAAATGTTATGAATTGAAAGGGACATTGCATGCAAACTGTAATAAAATTCACAATATTCATGCGATGTAATCCTGCGAGCGACGAACTGTATATAACAAGTGGTGGTAACGCTCGGTAAGGCGTAAATGTGAAAAAAGACTGCTATTTTACCGCCTGTTATACTTGTCGTTACTAACCCTTAATCAAAGATTTGAAATTAATGTCCACCGTACTTTATTAAACAATGTATCTATTTTGTCCCCGCAGAATTATGCCTTATCAATTACTCCCTCCGCCCATTTCAACGCTCGTAAACGCCGTCAAAAGCCTACATACATCTTTATAGAATTATATGGTGTCAGAAAAAGCATTGAAAATAGTTTATAGTAAATAGCAATTGTAAAAATCCAAATCACCTGTAAATTGCAGCGATTTTCACGGTAACGCTGTCTTTATGGAACACCTGTGTATTTCTGATGATAGATACTGATAAAAGTTTTAAAAATCTTAATTTTCTCATTGAGTGTTAAAAAGAAGTGGTGAAATAGAATATCTATTTGTGTCAACAAATTCTTTTGAAGAAATTTTGTGACAAATTACTCGTGCGAAGGTTTTTATTCAGCTTAAATACTTAACTAACACTTCGCTTTTTTATTATGAAAATAAATGAGTTGTATGTGTGTAATATAACCTGAATCAACTTACAGAAACATTTGAACAAGATTTTATAACTTTCAAAAGAATGCAACAATGAATGCAACATTTTACATTTATTTGCTTAGTTTGCCATTTTCTCATTTCTCATATCTCAGGCGAATATGAGCCGCGTCATGAAAAAACCAACATAATGGGTTTGCGACCAGCATGGGTCCAGACCAGCCTGCGCATCCGTGCAGTCTGATCAGGGTCCATGCTGTTCGCTAACAAACCCTATTACAAGTAGAGAAACTGATAGCGAACAGCATGGATCCTGATCAGACTGCGCGGATGGTCTGGGTCCATGCTGGTCGCAAACCCACTATGTTGGTTTTGTCGTGACGCGGCTCATATAATGTTTGCTATGGCCGGTTGATGTCGTAAATGTTATAAATATCCAATGTATTAATTCACTCAAGACCATTAAAATAATATACTACATATAGTTGTTTCTTTTCTCCTCGATTAAATAAAACTTGTTTATACAAGTACGAAGATCTTCTTGAACAGAACGTTAAAATCTAAACTTGTTGATGTAGTTGGCAGAACAGAACAGAACATTTATTTTCTAGACTTATACAAATGTTAACATGCAATGAACACATATATACAACATAATCACATAAATATATGTATGGCGATTGTTTATATTAAATATAAAGCTTACAATTAAAAATCACAAACTTTCTAAGATGATAAACTTCAAATGTGAGCTCAAAATTGAATTTCTTAGTTTCAAAGCTTCGTTAATATTTTAACAAACATTTATTGATATATTTCTATTACTAATACAAAATAGATCTAATTCAATAAAGTTAAACATAGATGGTTTGTTATAAAAATACTTTTTAAGATGGCGACAAAGCAGGAAAAACATTAATTAATGTAAATAATGATTGTGTCACTGCTACAGAAAGCATTACTTTAGTTTAATATTATCTTTATTTCCAGTTGCCAAACCAACCATGTTATAGAACAGTAGAGATATTTTTATTTTACATTACAACATTTATTATTAAGGCAATTCTTTATAAAGACAACTTAATAGGTTTCAGACACATTTAACATGAATATTACTCTTTTTCTTTAATCATATATCGTAATTCTACATTAATTATAAAATAATCCTGAGTTCAATTTTAAGTATTTCAAAATTCAAACTCACATATTAACGCCTACTATTATCTAACAACACAAATCTATAAATGTTTTCAATTTTAAACTGAAAATAAAACGGTATAAACTATGAATAGTGCTTTTCAAAACTACATGTTAAGCAATAGTGATTTTATTTAAAGAGGGCGGCAAATTTTCACTCAAATGATGTGATATGACATCATTCGTTTTGTCGAGGATTAAAAATTAAAAAAATTTCGATATAAAATTTCGTTTTGCTTTAATTTTATCAGTTTTCCTTTAAAGTATTATTATAATTTTGTCGCATAACTACTGGCTTACATGCAAGTTTCATCAATGACGATACAAAATTTCATCTAGATCATCAGATCGTGGGAAATATAATGACTACTGTATATATTATATAAATTTGAAAAAGGAATACCCTTGTACAATATATGTGATATCATGACTATACTTAGCACCTTTGCCTAATAAGTCATCAGGAAGGACTCTCATCTTACATCACATAAAAGACAGGATCTTAAACATTGAAAGACAATACTATTTTTACTCATTGTGCAACATCCTGTAAAAAAATTCAACATGTTAATTCATAATACATTTTGAGTGACGACAACGATATTACCTTTCATCTAATTCGTGCAAAAATTATCACAATCGCACATATGGTGTTTTTGCCAAATTTTCAAATATCATTTTAATGCCATTAATAGAGATTGAATGATTCCAGATTGGTAGCAGTTTACACAATGGTATAACCCGAGCCAACATGAGCCATATAAAGTATCTTGAAGCACGGAATAACAGTACATAATACTCACTGGGTGGGGTGTTTTGTGGTTTGTTTGTGAGTCCACAAGATGATTATCACTGTTTCAAGTTCACATGTCATCAGCAAAATGTTATAGTAAGGCTGACTTAAAAATAGGTTTCCGTCAGCTGACTATATATTAAAAACAGAACAATATTACTTAACGTATTAGAATCAAAGAAGCCAAACAAGTTAAGAGAAACAACATCAACGACGTTAACAACTTCAAAAGATAGAATAAAATAGGAACATACATTAAAATGATATAGCAATTTGTTAAGTCCAAATAGCTTTGTAATACAATACAAAACAAGTACTCGTATATGAAAACAACAAAATAAAGTCAACGGGCTCCGTTTGTTGCCTGCATACTTGTTGATGGAGATTTTAGTAAGGATAAACATTTTTGTTCTTGACGAATATGAATATCTTCTTTAGTTTTTTGAGAGTTACATAGAAACCAAGAATATTTACCAATCCTTATATACACAGTATAGTTATCTAGACAATACAAAAGACAAGAGCTATAGGTAGGACAGCGTGCTCGACTATTCCCAGTGCTTGATAGTAAAACAAAAGCTTGGATAATGTAAGAAATTCTAAGTTCAAAAAGGGCCATAATTCTGTCAAAATTCATGTTACAGTTATAGACCTTAGACAGTGACATGTTATGCGCTCAAATAAGTGTATGAAGGTCCAACCCATACCCTTAAGTGTTTTTTGAGAAACCAACTTTCACACAAAAAATTAACCAAAGTGCGACACCGACCAAGACCCCGACGCCTTGGCGAGTACAATAGCTCTCCTTATTCTTCAAAAAGCTGAGTTTAAATGAATGACGTCTTGATTTTAGTCTTTATATTAAGAGATGTGTTTATTTAAAACCAGGGGACAGAGAAAAACATAATGTTAGTATGGTCTAAACGATTGCAACCAGACCGTTCTGCTACGTCATCTTGTCTAACGTTACACGTCAGAAAATTGTAACTTACTTGGTCTATTAGCCAGTTTAATTCATTTCTACGTATAACCTATCAATAGACAAAGCTTATGTTGGGGAAACAGTTTAGAATGAATCTATGAATCCGTGAAAAGTTAGAGACACCCATGTTAATTGCCCTAAATTAGTCACATGATACAGCATCTAGTTCAAATATTACCCTGTATATCAAAGGCGCCTGTTCTTCATTTTTTATTCACAAAACAAACGCAACAATCCAATTAAAGTATTATTTTGTCATTTTGTAATGGTTTTCTTACGTTTATGCAACCTCTTCTGCAGACGGTAAAATATAATAGCGTGTGATATTTAAAGTTAATCATGTTTCTCCTTGTAAATAACACTAAAATTGCATTTGGACGTTTGCCCTGAAAAATCTTATATACATTTGTATTTTCCAAAAGTTATATCTAATAAACCCGTCTTAATTATTTATTTGAAAAAAAATTAAACTAATTTGCCATTTTGTGTTGCCTAAATTTGGAACCAGTGTATAAGTTATTTTTAATTGTATATGAACTTTAAAGAAAATTGGCCCATCACATATTTCCATGTTCTTCATTGAAAATACATTACTCAACATTGTACTGTACTATACGGGAATATATCCACCCCATGAGAAGAGTCGCCAGGCGAGCGTAACGTGACTTCCAAGCTGTGTACAAGTCCAAACATGAACAGAATAGTGTTAAAAAACAAATTAATTGCATATCCAAATTACAGTATGCCGTAGTTTGCAATACTACTACAAAAATAAATAATATTAATGCAAAAGTTTTTATCAGATCAGAATAAAATCAATAAACTTGTTTGGTAACACTACT